TACAAAATCAAACTAATCACAAGAAATACAAAATGATATATCACATGAAGATTGCAAAAAACAAAATTATTTGTGTTTCGGGTTAATTTGAATGTTTTGAAAGCAGAATTATTCAGGTTATATGGGTTTTGGATGTTTGATTCTTAAGGTATTTATAATTTATGGTTGTTAAAAGTTTGGTAATTTAGGTGCAGGACCCTGCTTTCATTTAATCTTAAAACCTACTGTAAATATATTACTATAAATAAATAAACTATGTAAATAGTAAATATATTACTATAAATAAATAAACTATGTATTTATAAATAATATCTAAGCTATTTAAGTTTTAACGGATATCGGGATATTGTAGAAAACTATGGATTTGCTCACAAGTTATCTTATTAAAGTCCAATAATCTGTTAACCTGATTTTAGTTACAAACAAAAAAATCTTTGTATTGTTATAATTGTGGTTATTTAAACACAAGTTGCAATTAAGTAATGAGTAATATAATATGTTAAACATTTTAATACCTTATTTAACTTTACTAATTACAACATTTTAGTCATAGGCGTGCGCAGGCCTCTTTTTCAGGATATGCAGAAGACTGACAATAACGCGCTCTGAAAGTTATTTTAAGCTCGTAAAATTCTGATAATATGTATACACAATTCACAAATATTGAAAAACCTACTGTTTAATTAAAAAACTATTTTAATAAATACCATTACACAATACAAGAAGTATGTATTTCGCAAATACTTGGTAGTTGATGATAACTGATAACTGGATGTTTCAATTTTCCAGAGTCGATGTTCGYCCMTCACAGAACTTCAGGGTATGCAGCTGCATACCCTGCATACCCCCTGCGCACGCCTATGATTTTAGTGTTACAATTAAAAATATTAATTCATGTCTTCATAAAGTATGTGTATTAACACATTTTTGATCTGATAAAATATTTAACTATTTTAAATTCATCATTCATCTATACTTTTTTAATGTTTTCACGGGTATTTAATAATGGAAAATTACACATGTATGTCAACCATCAGGTGTTATAYGTTTAAAAAATTGCAACATGTTTACTAATGCATATATTTGTGGTATTGCATTCACCTGTTTTTTGAATGCAAATTCTTTCTAAGCCACATATTAAATAGGTGATAAAATTAAATCTTAAAATACTATAAAATAATATACTTATAATATGAAATATTATTGTACATACCGTACATTGTAAAGTATTTTAAAGTAGCTAGCATATAACTTATGTTCGGATATGTTTCCATAGGACACAACGCTTATGCTTGATACTCTAAAGATCAAAAAATTTACAATTTTTGATGTTTTTTTTTCTTGTGACTCATTATACCTCATTTATTAAAACAATAATTACTTCTGTATTAATCTGTTAATGGTTATTAATTTCATTAGGCTATAATTTTACTTGATAATTATTTGAATTAGATGAATTCAATCATATCTCAAACAAAATAATATAAGTGTACAATAAGAAATGACACATAACAAATGGGTAATAAAGACATTTTTACTTGGAATTAGGATCGAAATATTATTGATTGAAAATAATTTGTATAGAGAATATTTATTTAGAACTAACATCTAAAAGATCTTGGTCTTCAATAATCTGTTTTTTTTAATGCTAAAATGCATTAATTTTCAAAAACTGGATGTTTGGTTATTGATGAAACCTATTGCATTAGAACCATTAAGGTTCTTTTATTATTTGTTTATAAGTTTTTTACTGTACACCAAAACATATTAATAAATTAATAATAATACAAGAATAAGGTCCAGATAAATTTTTTTATCTATATATTTATTATTATAAGTAACAATACAAGAATGACTTACAATTAATTGTTGTTTTATTTATTGATATAAATAATTATTAATTAGTACATATTATTTAAATTACATATACATGGTATTAAAATTTATATCATAATAAGTACTATATAAATACACAATAATACAATATACTTGCTTAATATATCTTAAACCAGTGSCATAGCCAGGAACTTTTTATGGGGGGGGGTTCAGCAAATTTAAACTTACCATACTTTACTTAGTGGTATCGGATATTTATTTTATTGTAAAAATATAACATACGAGTATATCGTAAAAATTAAATTCATCAATTTATTAGTTTTAAACAAATACAACTACATAACAAAGTAGTAAATATGATCATAATATTATGACTTG